ACGCTAAATACCGTTCGCCCTCTACTGTTTTTGCTGCATGTGCACAAAGTTCAGGTGTTTACTTCCACGTGCTTCATTGAGCTCGTATTTACAGGTAGGACTGACATTTCTAGTCTTTAGTGTTTAAAAGTATTTCATTAGAACCTGCAGAAGCAGCTAAACGTTCTTTCTGTCCCAACTGGACCGGACCCTCTGGAGACAGACACCCGACACAAGACAGCCACAGCGTTAACGCATGTCTGACAGCACTTGTAGCACCAGTAGTTGGAGTAGAAGACCGACGTATCGTAGTACCAGCAGACGTAAAGTAGCACACGCACCAGTACGTCTGCACGCACGGAAGCGCAGGCGGCGCGATGACGTCACAAAGCTTTTATGACTAACACGTCTGCAGCATGGACATATACATATAGGTCTGCAGTCAGTGGTCAGTCAGTATCAGACTTGCTTTGAAGGAGGTGGTTGGATGGATTGTTGCTCTCAGAAAACTTGTTGGTTTTGTGTAAACAACATCTTTTAACAGCTTCCTTCAGAGAAATCTGGTGCATTTGGTGAATATTTATAGCTAAATTATTCACTGCTCGAAAATCATAGAGTGCAAAATGGTCTTTGCTCTCTCAAACAGCCAACCAGCTTTCCAGTCAGGGCTAAGGTCCTCTGAGCTACAGTCGTTTCACAAACGACGCAGATATGAACTTCTGGCTAGCTACAGAGGAACTAGCTTTGCAGAAACACAAAAACTGTGTCTGTCTGCATCAAAACCTGACAAGTCTCGTCAGATTCAGCCCTTTGAGGAACCAAGTGTCTTTTTCAAGACAGCCGCGTCTGTGGACACCAGTGGAGGTTTAACATCCATCTCCAGCAAAAACTCCTCTGTTTTACGGGCTAATCGACAAGACCAAAGATATAAAACGCTGGCAAGGTACCGAGGAATTTCCTTAGTGGAGAAAAGACAGATGTCCTCTGTCCAACTCCAGGATACTCCTCGCATTCAGCTGTTGGGGAGAAGAAAGCGTTCGAGTGACGGAGGTCACGAGAACTCTGATTTCCCCAGCGCTGCTAAAAGGCCGAGGCTGTCAGAAGGCACACCTCAGCAGAAACGTCCCACTATGATCCGCCTCAAAGGTCGTAGGAAAGGGACGGACTCCGGACCCAAAAGTGTCTCCGAACCCCCCAAAACTGCATCTACCATCAAGTCTGAGCAGCCACGAACTCCAGTAATCTGGATTATTGGATCCAGTTACATCAGACGGGGTGAAGAGGCGGCTCAGCGGCAGTTTGGGACAAACTTTGGACTCAGAGCTAAGGTCCAATGGTTTGGCAAAGGAGGCATGCGCTGGGCTGGTGTCCTTCCCAGGTTTTACTCCGAGGCTCCCACTCACGGTCCTCCAGATTTTCTGGTCGTCCACGCTGGAGGAAACGATCTGGGTCTCGTTTCCCCGGTGGAACTGGCTTCTCAGATCCAAAAGGATTTGTCCCACCTCCATAAGGACTTTCCGGAAATGAGAATAGCCTTTTCCGCCATCAACGAACGGCAGTCGTGGCGATACGGGCGACCAGGAAGAATTAACAGCAACAGAAAACAGGTTAATTCTTTACTGAGGAGGGCCGTTAGGAGCTTTGGGGGCCTGGTCATCGAGCATCCTGAGCTCAGGTTCTTCAACAACGCCCTTTTTCTCCCAGACAGAGTGCATTTCAGTAAGAGAGGAAACAGCTTGTTTCTGGGCAGCATTCACTCTGTTCTGGAGAAGATTCTGGCTCAGAGGTGTAACACCTAAATCTGTTACGCCTTAAAAAGATAACAGCTGACAGAAAAGGGCAAATGGACACGCTTCTCATCCGGCACGTGTGTGAATCAACCGTTGGATCAGGACTCCTGAAGAGCCAACAACTGTCACGCTGAGCAGGAGGAGGTAGGACCCAAAACGCAGAAGCCCAGAATGACTCGAGGCAGGAGCGGTTGAAAAAAGGTCAAATCCTTTTATTAAGGTGGCAACAAAAATGACTTAGATGCAGGAATCAAATCCAGAAAACTGAAAGCCAAAAAAACACAAAAGCTCAATAATGAGCAGAAAGACTAGAACCTGACGAGGGAACAAAACAACGCTGACTCACAACGATGGACCGACAAACACTGAGGGACAAGACAGGACTTTTAAACACAGAGCGAGGTGATCAGAGGAACAGGTGACAGGTGTGAGTGATCTGGAGGGAAGGCAGGTGCATTCAGTAAACTAAATGTGGAAAGGACTAAGCAGGAGAACCTGGAGGAGAACAGGAGGAGGCTGGGGACAGAGGGACACAGAACATGACAACAACTGTCTTTTTAAAGACAAAACTAAACAAAAAACATGAAAAAGATGAACTTAAAGTTCAGAAAGCATCTGAATAAAAAACCAAACCAAAAAAAAAAAAAAAAAACCAACTAACTCTGCCAGGGTTTCCCTTTTGGGTCACTTCTGCCAGTCCCAAGCCCGGATTAAAGAGGAGGGGTTGGATTATAACACAGAACTAAATTCACAGTAGAGGGATTTTACTCTTAAGAAATAAAATACTTTTATATGTTACTGGACACGCTGGTCTGGTTGGTTAGACCAGTGTTTGAAGTGGAAAAAACACACACACACACACACACACACACACACACACACACACACACACACACACACACACACACACACACACACAAACGCTCACACACCAATTTAAATAATGCTGATAGCGTGGACTAGAAGACAGGTGATGGTTTACGTATTTAAATAATGATCAGGCTGCTGTAAAATGTAATCTCCATCTACATCCAGACACAATTATCCTCTATTCTTTCTCTATTTTCTATTCCCTTGTCTGGGCTGACGTAGCTGACGGTGCAGTACCCTTATGAATGGTGAGAGGTACATATAAGAAGTAGGCCACAAGGTGGCACAATGTGGGGTAAAATTATGGGTAAATACCATCTTCCAATAATGCAATACTTCTTTATGAAATTCAGATAATTTAAAAGGCAAAGTAGTGATTTCAAAGTCACATTTCAAAAGAAATTTTAGCCACCCCAAACATCTTGAAGACGTTTTTTGGAATATGAAACTAAATTAAATTGGTCTTTATTAGAAATTCTTTCAACCACTTTGTTTTAAATGTTCCCAGCATTGCTTCAATATCCACTGATTTCATGCCTCCATTTTTATATTCTTTAACTAACTGGGATCTTTTCATATAGTGGGTTTTATTTCTCCGTATGAATTTGTATATAATAGCGTTAATATTTTTCACTGTTTTTGGAGTCTATTTCCTTTTCTATTCTAATTTATTTTTCTACAAATTTTTCTGTTTCCCCATCTCATCCTTTTGTGTCACACATCCATCAGATTAGTAGTTACACCACCTCCTTTACATATGTACCTGTGATTTGAAGTCATTCAATTCAATTCAAGTTTATTTATAAAGCACCAAATCACGACAAGAGTCATCTCGAGGCACTTCACATAGTAAACATTCCAATACAGGTCAGTTCATTAAGCCAATCAGTAAAATGTTTCCTATGTAAGGAACCCTTCCTTCCTTCACACAACACAAGCACTGAGTGCTCCCTTTGGTACAATGTTACAGAGCTTCACTTGTTCGTTTTAGATCTACGGCGTGAATTCCATTTGAGTTAAGGTTAGGAGTAGACTTGTTATGGTTAGAGCTCGGGTTAGGCACAATCCAGTCACTAAAATTAATGGAAGTCAATAATGGTCCTCACAACACATGCTAGAAAAGAATGTGTGTGTGTGTGTGTGTGTGTGTTTGTGTGTGTGTGTGTGTGTGTGTGTGTGTGTGCGCGTGTGTGTGTGTGTGTGTGTGTGTGTGTGTGTGTGTTACGACCCAGGTCTTCTAGGTAACGTGGTGTAACAAGAGGAATGTATACTTCGTATTTAAAAAGAGAAAGTTTTTTTAACAGAACAGACACAAAAACATAAGGAACACTGAAGTAGTTGGCGTCAACAAATATGGTAACAAACATTTACCTCAACTGAATACAAAATATGCCAAAAGATCAACACGGCAGAGGTGTCTCCACCAGTGATGTGTCTTTATTACATAATAAGTGTGTGTAGGCGTCAGGGACTTGTACAAACCAGCCAGAAAAGCACTGTTAAAGGTTTTGACAACTTTATTTGGAGAGGCTTCAAAAATAACATTAACTGCTATAATAAACCAACAACTAGAACATTTCTGAAGAATTTTTGAAAGATGCTTGCCATCTGGAGTAGGATAGTGGCAACATGGTGGGAAGCCAGTTGCCAGGTAGCTATAGCTCACCTCGACGCTAGCTAAGCAAGCGATTGCTCATACCGTAAATCCTCTAATACAGGCCCGGGCCTGTATTAGAGGATTTACGGTATATAAATCCAGTCATCACCAAACAAACAACTGGTCTTAACACCAAAGCAGTCAGACACGTAATCAACCCTGACTATAACCAATGCTGGTCTAAACACACACACACACACACACACACACACACACGCACGCACACACACACACACACACACACACACACACACACACACACACACACACACACACACACACACACACACACACACACACACACACACACATGTTTACAAAAACAACTAAAAAAGGAAAGCCTGTAGTCTAAAATGAAATTCTAACAATTAACTTATAATAAATCTTAGACCAAACATGAAAACAGCATACACAGGAGGACTTTTTTTCTTAGGAAAAATTGTGTTTGTCTTTGTGTAGCTTAGCCATTTTAGGCTAATTTAATAAATGGAAGCTGAACATTTTCAAAAATAAATAGTCTTTGGCAAATTGGCAATTGACACAGCAAAATGACTTGAAAAGAAAAAAAAAAACGACATGAAATGTCCCCAGAATGGCGTTGGTTTCATCATCTCTATTTAAGGTGGAACTCCAGCTGTGTGGACAGCTCCGTTTTCCCACTGATGGACCAAGACCAGCCTAGTCCAGTTAATTATTCACAGTCTGTGCTTGGTTCCAGCTCTCTGCTGCATCATTCATTCAGATAAGTTGTTTCACCCTTTTTGAAGACATGCTGCACTGGATTTACTGCTTTCTACTTTCTTTGTGGTTTTGGGGGTCAGGGCAGTGTGGGCCCCAGACAAGACCCCACTCTGACATAACGGACCAGGAACTGTTCTGGGGCGCTGATCAGTATGACTTCTCTGTGGTGCTTCCTGCAGCTGGGACTGAATGTTTCTGGCATTTTGCTCATCGTGGAGAGAGATTTTACCTGAGTTTCATGGTGAGTAACACTCGGACAGTCCACTTTGGCTTGTGTGTGTCAGCAGCGTGTGTGTGTGTGTGTGTGTGTGTGTGTGCGTGCGTGCGTGCGTGTGTGCGTGTGTGTGTGTGTGTGTGTGTGGTGAGGGAAGGAGACGGTTGCTTATGACAATATTCTAATTAGGATTTTGAATTTGGGGTTTTCATAAGCAGCAATTGATCATTGTAATTATAACAAATAAAGGCTTTTAATATCTGGCTTTGCTTGTATGGAGTATCTTATAAACACTGCCTGGCCAAAAGAAAAACGTTGCCAGCTGGATTTAACTAAGCAAATAAGTATGAGACTCCTATTGGATAATTACTGCATGGGCAATTATCTTTCAGCTGGCAACAAGTTATTTAAAGGTGTGGAACAATGAAAAAAAAACATTAACTCGAGTTTTATTGATCCTATTTATCTTAAATCCCACAAAACTAGATGGTACTAGTAAAAAGTATCGGTATTGGTATCGGCAATACTAGCCCCTGTATTTACTTGGTATTGGATCAATACCAAATTTTACAGTATCGTACAGCACTGGTACTTCTGCAAACACACATGCATGGTATGTGATTTATGTTAGTATCTAAGTGAATACTGATGCCTCCGGATAATGGTGAGCAGCACTCAGTTCAGATCCCATGGAGCTCTGGGGGGGCTTAACAAAAAAAATAGCTACATTCCCTTCATTATATCACACAGCGTACGACTATGGATTTCTAGAAAATCATACAGTGGTGTGAAAAACTATTTGCCCCTTCCTGATTTCTTATTCTTTTGCATGTTTGTCACACAAAATGTTTCTGATCAAACACATTTAACCGTTAGTCAAAGATAACACAAGTAAACACAAAATGCTGTTTTGAAATGATGGTTTTTATTATTTAGGGAGAGAACAAAACCCAAACCTACATTGCCCTGTGTGAAAAAGTAATTGCCCCCTGAACCTAATAACTGGTTGGGCCTCCCTTAGCAGCAATAACTGCAATCAAGCGTTTGCGATAACTTGCTACGAGTCTTTTACAGCACTCTGGAGGAATTTTGGCCCTCTCATCTTTGCAGAATTGTTGTAATTCAGCTTTATTTGAGGGTTTTCTAGCATGAACCACCTTTTAAGGTCATGCCACAGCATCTCAACAGGGTTCAGGTCAGGACTTTGATTAGGCCACTCCACAGTCTTCATTTTGTTGTTCTTCAGCCATTCAGAGGTGGATTTGCTGGCGTGTTTTGGGTCATTGTCCTGCTGCAGCACCCAAGATGGCTTCAGCTTTAGTTGACGAACAGATGGCCGGACATTCTCCTTCAGGATGTTTTGGTAGACGGTAGAATTCATGGTTCCATTTATCACAGCAAGCCTTCCAGTTCCTGAAGCAGCAAAACAAACCCAGACCATCACACTACCACCACCATATTTTACTGTTGGTATAATGTTCTTTGTCTGAAATGCTGTGTTACTTCTACGCCAGACGTAACGGGACTTTTGCCTTCCAAAAACTTCCACTTTTGTCTCATCAGTCCACAAGGTGTTTTCCCAAAAGTCTTGGCAAACATTGAGATGTCTCTTAGCAAAATTGAGACGAGCCCTAATGTTCTTTTTGGCCATTTTTGTCCAGTCTCTTTCTTATGGTGGAGTCGTGAACTTTGACCTTAATGGAGGCAAGTGAGGCCTGCAGTTCTTTAGAAGTTGTCCTGGGGTCTTTTGTGACCTCTCGGATGAGTTGTCTCTGTGCTCTTGGGGTAATTTTGGTCGGCCGCCCACTCCTGGGAAGGTTCACCACTGTTCCATGTTGTTGCCATTTGTGGATCATGGCTCTCACTGTGGTTCGCTGGAGTCCCAAAGCTTTAGAAATGGCTTTATAACCTTTACCAGACTGATAGATCTCAGTTACTTTTGTTCTCATTTGTTCTTGAATTTCTTTGGATCTTGGCATGATGTCTAGCTTTTGAGGTGCTTTTGGTCTACTTCTCTGTGTCAGGCAGCTCATATTTAAGTGATTTCCTGATTGAAACAGGTGTGGCAGTAATCAGGCTTGGGGGTGGCTACAGAAACTGAACTCAGGTGTGAAACACCACAGTTGGGTTATGTTTTAACAAGGGGGGCAATAACTTTTCCACACAGGGCAATGTAGGTTTGGGTTTTGTTCTCTCCCTAAATAATAAAAACCATCATTTCAAAACTGCGTTTTGTGTTTACTTGTGTTATCTTTGACTAACGGTTAAATGTGTTTGATGATCAGAAACATTTTGTGTGACAAACATGCAAAAGAATAAGAAATCAGGAAGGGGGCAAATAGTTGTTCACACCACTATACATAGTCCCTGAAAGGGGGAAGCTCTGGATGGCTGCTTTAAAGTATGAAATCATTAAATTGGCTGATAAATAAAAATGTATTTTTTGGTTTGTGTTAAAATCGCTAGACTGCAGAGAAGCTGCAGTCTCAAGTCTTCAGAACCTCTGATGCACGTTTTTCTAAGTTTTCATGTTTTAACAAAGCAGTTGTGTTTTTTAGCTGATTTTTTTTTTCATTTTGTGCTCCAATACTGGAAACATTTACATAAAGCTGATCAGTTTTAAGGAAACCCTTTGATTTGCTCTTGAGGCCGTTGACAAAATCGTCTCCTCTAATGTTCTAATGAAGGGTCCAGTTCCAAGGCAGTCGTTTGTGTTTTCAGGTGCAGTGGGTGACAGGCGTGGGTCATGACAGACATCTATCAGTGATGGTGAATGCTCCCAGTGGTTTGATGGTGTCCACTTCTGATGATGCAAAGGGTCAGATCAACTTTGAGGTCGAGGAAACAGGTCTGAGTCTATTTATTTACCTCCTAATGAACCTTTACTGTTGCTAATGGGTGGTGGCACTCTCCCACCTCACCTCTTCCCAGTCAGATTAACAGAAACTGTACATTTTCTAAATTAGTAGATTTTTTTCATGTTTTAGCTAAGCTCATCCTTCAAAGAAGGACCAAACTTGTAAAATATAGCTCCGAAGACTCCGACAGCCTAAGAAAACCCCATAACCCCTGTCTACAGGCAAGTCCTTCTCTTCCAGGTTTCCATCAGATGTGTTTCAGCAACTTCCACAACCGCTTCAGCACCATGCAGGTGTTCCTCAGCTTTGGGGTTTACTATGAAGATTACCAAGACCCCTCCATGAGCCATGAGGAGGAGATGGAGGAGGAAGTGAGCAAAGACCTGAACAACACGCTGAGGGGGATTGAGGTGAACACCAGTTCCTCCTCACACTGGACAAGCTGACAAACACTCATCCTGATGTTGGTTTAAAACACAAAGCTTCATCTCTGAGCATCAAGTGACCCTCTCATCATAATGGGGTCCAGAGGACCCCATGTGTTTTTGATTTTTGAGGAATGAGCGCCATCTCCCCCCTGCCACGTGGTCCCCGAGGGATAAACCACCAACGCTGCTCAACCATCCTGTCCTGGAGGGTCCCTGGAAATATGAGCAGGAGGGTTAGCTCCACAGGCTCATTTCAATTAAATGCATCCAAAACAGGAAAACTTCAGGGGATTTATAAACTAACAACCCCTGAATTTTAAGACTTTGTTCCAATTTAAACACAGTTACTGAAAAGAAAAGAAGCAAATTTACTCAAAGAGTAAAATATAAGAAGCCTTGTCACAACCAAGAAAAAATAATCCACTAAATAACACATTTCTTCACTTACTTTGCCAAGTTTATGTTTGTGGTTTTGCTTTTCAGACAGCGACACACAGAGTGGAGCAGCGCGTCTTCCACGTGTTCCGTTACTACAGCTTCGGCCGGATGAGGAAGAGTGCGGACTACTTCCTCCTGCAGTCCAACTCTCTGTACATCAGCTGGTGGTCCACAGCCCTCAGCCTGCTCATCATCACCTCTGGGTACCTGCAGCTGCTGTTCCTCAAAAGTCTCTTTGTGAGCACGACTGGGCCCGAGGATGACAAGCCCCGATGTTGAGTCCAGGTCAGCCCGTTGGGCTCAAACAGGAAAAGCCATCCGATGTGCTGAAGTTTTGTGTGATTGGATTCATGTTTGTAACAGTAAAGATGTGTTTCTCTGATTCTAGACTCTTTGTTTTTCTTCTCCTCTGAGAGGTAGCTTTTAATTGAAGTGGGTCAGGCCGAGCAGCTGTCCCTATTAGCTCCTCCTGAGGGGGTTCTGCTCCAGGATTAAGGATGGACAGAAAACCTCCAGATTAAGATGAGCAGTTTGATTTTTAAAATCATGACTCATCAGAAACAATTCCTTCATGGTTAGTTGCACTCAGGTAAAGAATAAAGGACCAACAAATTCCCAGAGTTTAGAATTTGAGGGGGTTGATCTTGTTTTCTTCTTTAGATTAAGTCCAAAGCTTAAAACTATGCTGAGAAACAAAACATCTGTTCTGTTTTTATGTCAGTGCACCTCACATTCATAAAAAAGCTGCCATCAATAAATCCATCAATGTTCACTTACATAGCCCTTTACACTGCCCAAGGGGTGACTTAAATATTTAAAAAGGAAACAGAGAACAGTAAAAATCCATAAAATACCAGGAACCATTATACAAGTTGTTAAATTATAAAAGTCTTTTTGAAAATGGCAAAAATAAAAAGTAAAAATGCAAAAAAGAACGATTTAACACAGATTACAACACTCCAGGATATTCAAAAGCTGTGTGAAAAGGGCATGTCTTTAGCCTAGCAGCAGTCCGTTCCACAACCTCGGACCTGCCAGAGAACGAGCCATCCCCTCACCGTCTGTGTTCAGATCTCGAAACGTGTAGATAAAATTTACCAGAAGATCTCGTTTCTCTGCCATGTTTTTGCAATGAGAGACCGTCACAGATGTAGGACGGTGCAAGCCCACGAATGTTAAAAACATCACCGTGAACTCAATCCTGAATCTTACAGGGAGCCAAGGAAGTGATGAGAGGCCTGGAGTTTTGTGTTGCTGCCTAAGGGTGTTGGTGAGCAGACGTGCAGCTGCATACTGGACTAGTGGTAGGCCTGTATCCGGAGCAAACGGGAGCTGATAAAAGCACCTGTGCTCTTTCTAGCCAGAAATGGTTTTCCTTTAGCCAAAACTCAAAGCTTGCAGAAGCTAGTCTTGACAACGGAATCAACCTGCTTACCTAATTTCACGCCGCTACATTTCTGACCTTAAGTTAAAACTCGGTGCTAAAAATTCTAAATGACAGTGCTACGTTCAGCATGTTTGGTGAGCAAAAAACAACACTCAGTTTTGTTGTGGAGGAGCAAGAACTTCTCTGACAACCCCGGCTGTGTCATGCACGCAGTGTAACAGGGAAGATATTGTATCACTATTTCTGAACTTTAGTGGCAGATAGACCTAGATGTCATCAGCATAACAAAAGAAAAACAAATGATGTCTTTTGACATTTCCAAGCGGCAACATGTAAGGTCAGAAAGTGCAGAGCCTAGAATAGATCCTTGGGGTACACCAAATGGGAGCTTTCCCTTGATGAACAGGTGTTACCAATCATGACAGAAATCTTCTGATTATCAAAGACCTGAACAGTGCAGAGCCACAAATCCCAACAACATGCTTGTCTAGAAATCTAGATAAAAGATGGTGCTCTGCAGGTTGTTCTAGCCACACTTCATCGTAGCCTCAGCAGGTCTACCATTAGACTGAAAATGTTTTCACAGCGCTCTAGGCTGCAGGGACGTTGGGTGGGATTAGCGCGTTTCAAACAGGTCTGGCATCCACTTTGGACGATTTAGACTTGGGCTTTTTGGTGAAATATGAGCAGATAGATACATTTAAGTCCTTTATTTTTGAAAAAGGATGCATTTGCATTTTCTTCAACGGTGTATGGCAGACTGCCCCACTGACTGATTTCAATAATGAATACGTCACTTGGTTCATTGCTGTGATTGGTCCTAGAGCTGTCCATTTACATGAGGATGACAGTTTGAAAGACAACCACAGACTTCGCCGCACAACTGAGCTCTAGTGGGTCGTGACCAGACTATACGTCCACCTATACAAGAAGGTGTTCCAGGTTAATCTGCCAGAGTTCTGTCTAAACCAGCGACCTTTGGTCTAGAACCACAGAACACCTGACGCCTGAGCAGCTCTGTGTTTTATAAAAGTTACAGTTGGTTACATATAAAGAAGAAACAGACATGGTGTTGATTACTATCAGAACAGCTTGTTGGGGATTTTATTGTGACTGAATTTTTTCTAAGAATAACAGAAACAGTTGTTAACTTTAGCAGTTTTCATTAGAGCTGAAGGTTTTTTTCTGTTTTAGTCAGAAGTTTCCATGTTAGTAGAACTTCTTTCTTTGTCCCATTTCAGCCTTTCCACTGAGAGTCCAGCTGGGCTTTGCTTCCATCAGCATCAGTAGGTTCATGGTGTTTCTGTGGTGGATGTCAGGAATAGATCAGACTGGATTACTGAACCATCCCATCATTACTATGATCACTCTGCCTCACATTTACACCAGAATGTACAGAAAACAGCTGAAATCAGATTTTCCGTGGCAGGTTCCAGAATATTCTGGAGGATCAGACCAAATCCTCCGTTATGATTCTGGAAGAATACGACTCACCAAAAACTGTTGTATTGTTTCTTAAATAAGGCACACTCAACAATTAAAAAAAAAGAGCTAACAGTCACAGTTCATCACAGACCGGCTCCTGGTACTGTGTGATGCACAGGAGGAGAATCCAAACCGACCCGGTTCCATTTCATCCTCACTAAAACGCATAAGCAGACCCAAACCGACATCACAGCTAAACAGTCCCAGACGGACGGGCCAGATGTCTGGTGACCCAGGAAGATAGCTTCCAGGTGATGGCCCACCTTCAGTTCAGGGTCCTGCGGTCTCCCTGTGGGGTGGTTATGATCTCAAACTCCTGCTGAAGGTCATGTTCTGCTACTGTGTGTTTATCTCAGCTAGACTTCATTCATTGGGATTCAAACCAGCAGCTCTGACTCAAAGACGGATTGGTCCCAATTAAATTTTAAAGTGATGTTAGCTGAAGATCCACGAGCAGCTCCAGTAATAGTCCTGAGCCCTTTCACCCTCAGTCCAACATTGTGAAGGCATCATGAACAGGAGAAGCTGAGTCAGCAAAATGGTTTCCCTAATAACAGACCTCTCAGCTAGTGTGTGTGTGTGTGTGCGTGCGTGCGTGTGTGCGTGCGTGTTTTATTAGTATCTGCTGATCGAGATTTTAGCCCAGCAGCAGCCAACGTCAGGACCAAAGCAGTGGAGGCGGGAACTTAAATCCCTTCATCAAAGGTAGCTGGAGATTAACGGAAACCAGTACGGAGGCCTGGAGTCTACTGTCAGGCTGCCTGACTGAAGGTGTCAGCTCCAGCATGAGCAAGATCTGGCTGTTTACAGGCATGGGGCCTCAGATTTCATGTGTCATGGTGAGGGGGGGGGGGGGGGGGGATGATGGCGAGGTCTGAGGCTCGTTTGAAGCCTCGCTGGCCCTGTTGTAGTCCGATGCCTCTGGGGTTGGATGTTGGACGTGATCTGCACATCTGGAGGTGTGATCAGCTGCTGGTACACCTCCTTCCGCTCTTCCACACATTTCTTTCACACACATTTCAGCTGTGTGTGTGATGTGGGACACCCTCCTTTCTGGGGTGGTTTCACAAAGTTTTAGAACTGGGGGTGGTGCTCCAGAGTCCAGGCTGTGACAGCGGCCCAGGGGGCGCTCTTTGAGACGAGCGCGAGCACCAGGACTCCGTAAAGGGCTGCTGACGTCAACAGTCTCCTCTCGCCTCAGTCTCCTCCTGTCTGGATTCTCCTGCAAGACAAAACAGGTTCATTTGGGTTTTAATGACCCGTCTGAACCAAGTCAGAACTTACTGTAGATTTTCTAATCCAGGGTAAGAATTCTACCTGGGGATGGAGGGTTGGACTTCTGGGTGGAGAACTACTGGAGCCTTTTCTCATATGATGCATCCTGAAACAAACACACACACACCGTTTACAATTATCATTTATCAAGAGTCATATTCTGAAGCAGGGACCTGTTAAAGCCTACCTGCTGATGGACTGGGACAGTTTGTGTCTCCGTCCATTAGAGTTGTCCTGCTGCTTTAGACGCTGAACAAACGAGTGAGCTGCAGACGATCACAGAACAGGTTAGATCTTCATCAGGCTTCCTGACAGATCCAGTAGTGCACCTAAAATATTACTAAAGCTACAAATACCCAGAGCTCCTTTGGGCACCGAGAGGAGTTTGATGGGCTCAGCTTCAGGGGAGAGTCCCGATGCTTTCTGCAGAGCTCTGAGAATTTCAGTGTTCTGCACAAAATCATGTTAAACACACATAAGTCCTCAAAGAAACAGCCCCCTCCAACACCATGCCTCAGTACATGTGCATGAGTGGTGAGTGAGTGAGTGAGTGAGTACCTTGCCACCATGCTCATAAGCACAGTCTAGAGGCGTCCTCTGCCTTTTGTTCCTGAGAGCTGGTGATGCCCCGGCCCTCAGCAGCAGCTCCACCAGCTCCTGGTGACCTCCTCGCACCGCCACATGAAGAGCAGAGTTTCCCTGCAGGTTCACCATGTTCACCAGGGCGTGGCTCTGCACACACATTCAGGTTTCAAGAACATTCCTGTACAGACTTGGACTCTGCAGGAGCAGCAGCTCCTCTGAGTGTCTGTACCTGCAGCAGCGTATCAGCGGCCTCAACGTTTCCACGCAGACATGCATGGATCAGAGGTGTGTTTCCATACTGGTCCTTCTTATTTAGCTTAGCGTTACACTCCAGCAGAAATTTCATCACCTAAACATCAAAACACAGGATCACATCAGTAACGGCTGCATGAATGCAGATGAACAAAAGGAGCAGGGAGCTCAGATGAGCCCTGCTGGATCAAGTTACCATCAGAGCACCAAGTTAGGGTTCCTCTGAAGGTCTGAGTGAAAGAGGATGTTTCTGCAGGGTCGTGATGAAGGTCAGTAAAGTCTTCATCATCTCCACCACACTTCCCTCCGAATAATCCATTTCTTTCACTGACGGTTCGGTTTGTGTCTGACCCCCTTCTGTGTTTACCAGAAGACAAAAACCTGCAGCCTGACTGTCCTCACAGACCTTCCTTTAGAGAAAGAGATGGATCATTCCAGTAAAGGAGGTCAGTGTTGGGCTCGCTCCAACCTTTCCCAGAAATATTCATGGGGGTCAGAGGCATTTACCTGTTCTGAGTGTCTTGACAGTGGAGCAGGGGGGGGGGGGGGGGGGGGGGGATTTATCTGAAGCTGCTTTCATTCCTTCTGAATAAAAACAGAGCATTGTGTTTCAGCCTGTGCAGTTTAGGATTTCAGCTGAGAGGATGATGGCTCGTGTCTAAAAGCCTCCAGATTACTTAAATGAAGAAGAAGGTTGTTGGGCTGGATTCACGGACATCAGGTGTAGCAGCTCAGAAACCACCACTCAGCTCACATCTCCTACTCAAGTGCTTCAGCCTCATTTGCCCTCTAAATGTAGCAGTTTCTATTCAGAACAAACTCAATCGTTATGGGATCCGCTCCACCTGGACCCACCTGAATGTGGCTGTTCTGGCTGGCTAGGTGAAGCGGTGTAGCACTCTGGTTGGTGCGAGCGTTGACGTTGGCTCCGTGGCGAACAAGCAGAGCAGCCAGCGTGGAGCGGCCGTGAAGGGCCGCCACATGGAGTGGTGAAAACCCGTCTGTGTTGGTGCTGTTAACGCCTAGAGCTCCAACCTGCTGCACAGACAGCTGCAGAAAAGCAGAGACACCAGTAAACGACCCAGCCTCCAATCGGTAAACATTAGAGCCAACAGATGTCCAACCTTCTGGGTGGGAGCACAGTCTGGACACTGACACAGCGGATGGCAGAGTGGTGCCTCCGTCCGTAGCTCTCCTTCATCGTCTCCTTCATCCATCCACTCCAGCAGGTAACGCACCTGAGACACACACACCAGGGTAAATGATCTGCACTTGAGACATGGATGGAGTCTGGAGTTTGAAATGGTAACTGACCATTTACAGGACAAACACCTGACACCTACTCCATCATCCCCCTGACTCATGAGCCTGGTTTTAACAAAGTCACTTTGTTCCTTTGACTCACCATCTCCTCGTCTCCATCAGCTACAGCCCGCAACAGCTTCTCTACCTAAACACACACACACACACACACACACACACACACACACACACACACACACACACACACACACACACACACACACACACACACACACACACACACACACACACACACACACACACACACACACACACACACACACACACACACACACACACACACACACACACACACACACACACACACACACACACACCATCAGCTGTCATCGCACTGCTCTTTGGTTTTAGCTTCATGGGACAAGAGAGGTCTTCACCCACCTCTCTGTGCCGGACTCGTTCTGATTCAGGTTTGACCTCTGAGCCCAAAGAAGATGTGCTGGAGACGGATGAGCGGCGGCTGCTGCTGCAGTCTGATGCCAGAGGGGAGCAGCTGGGAGACTGAGAGCAGGAGTCAGCATGAGCTAAGGCTGTGTATGCTCTACTCACACACTGTACTCTAATTGTTGGAGTGCTGTTAAGCATTCAAACTATTGTTTTCCTGTTTATCTTTATTCTTCTGATTCTGCTTCCATACACTTTTTGAACCTTTTCAACTCCTTCAAATTTTTAACTATGTCAACAATTTTATATCAAAATGTTCAGCTCGTTAAGCTCTTTCCGGCCATTACTTTTGGCATTGATATCTTTAAAATGTTTTGAGTTGTTAAGCTTTTTCTGCAACAATTTTCCCATTGAAATGAATGGGATTGGTCAAATTTTAGCTAATTCCTATCACTTTTTTGACCTAAAACTCTTTTGGGTTCCCTTTAACTTAGAGACTTCATTCAAAGTCTTAACAAATTCACAAGACTTTCCTGTTTAACATATTAAAGAGGCTTTTTGATATCTTTTACGGTTTTTCTAAAATCGCAGGTAGAAGTTGAGGTACGACTTGAAATTTTCAGAAAAACTCACAAAAGTTATAATGGGGAAAGATAGGAACGGTGACCCTCCCTTGCTCCATTTCTGGCGTTGTCCCGAGAGAACCGTAGGTCCAATTGAAATGATATATACGCTGGCTTACAGCTAACGAAAATACCTTCGTTTTGAGCTGTAATTCATGAATGTACTCCAAACATTGTGGTCGTACGGTTAATTTCTTTGAGATTAAAATTTTTAAAAATGCTTCCCACCACTCTAAACTGAAAATGTCGCACTCTAACTTTTGAACTTCACATCTTCTGTGAAACATGCTTTACTACCCCCAGACCGTTTGGAGTACCGAAACAAATTATAACTCAAAAAGTAGGAATTTTTGTCAGCTTTTCAGAATGGGGTTCATCTTATCTGTAAGTGTTACCGTTCTTTTGCTACAAGCCCCAGAAAGAGGAGGGACCCAGCTTTTCTCTCATTGAAACACACGATCGGTTTCAGACAGCTAAAATGTTCTCCTCATAGCTTCTAGAACATTCAAAGTAGGCACACAACAATTCAAACAGATAACCATCAAAGCCTTCTACCAGTCATGCTTTTTGAATTTTTCCAATTGGGGCTGCAGTTTTTGAATGGTGATGAGACGTTTCAGAGGTCTGACATGACATCTGAGCAGCTGAGCACTGTTAAATGCATGATTTATAAAATCTTGAAACAAAAATTTCCACCGACCACATCTTTTATAGTACACTAATACTTTTATCAAATTCAGTGGGTTATTTTGACAACATCGAAGTGCTGTCTTTGGTTTTCCTGTAAGTTTTACTGTTTTTGTGCTGCACGCGTCGGAAAGAGGATTGTGCCAGCTTTCCTCCATTTAAACCTCAATAAAAAAAAGGCTCATGTGGCTGACAAACAGCTGAAATGTTCTCCTCATAGCTTCTAGAACATTAATGGTAGGCACACAAGACTTCACACGGATGTCCATCAAAGGCTTCTGCCGCTCAGGCTTTTTGAATTTTTCCAATCGGTGCAGTACTTTTCGAATGGTCATGAGAAGTTTGACAGGTCCAATTTCACTTCTGAAGGACAGATTAATAAAAGGCTCCTCTCATTAATAGAGCTCCGGACCCCACGTGACTCTCAGTTAGTAGACGCCATATTGGCAGGAAAAAAAGGTAAACAAAGACGGATCGTAAACATGAACATGAACGGGATCGGCTTGGATTTTACTTCGTCGGAGTTTACTTCACACTTTAAAACCGAAGAAATCGTTTTATATAGTCAGAAGTTAAATAGACTAAACATCTCCGACCCTTACCGTGCCCCTGGGATACTTTTTAAAAAACGCCAGAAGCTGTCGGAGCGGACTTCTTACCGGACCTGGCCGGGGAACCCCCTAAGGATTTCCCCGGAGGAGCTGGCCCAAGTGGCTGGGGAGAGGGAAGTCTGGGCCTCTCGACGCTACTGCGCCCGTAACCCGACTCCGGATAAGCGGATGAAAATGGATGGACAAATAACATATTAACACATAAGTAGTTTAAACAGAGTGCTGTGCTGTTTGAATGTATAAACTGAACACCAAGAGAAATCACTAGTCTGATTTTCTTCCGTGAATAAAATAAAAATGTCAGGCAGGAACGTCTCAGGATCTGTCTGAGATCTGTCTCGGTGAGACAGATAATAGCAATCCAAAGTGCTTTTTAAGTGTGATCTGACAATTGATCAACCATTGCTTAAAAATTAAATACAGCTTAGCCGCTTAATTGCTGTGATCATAAAACACGTAAACGGCAGCACGCAGAAACACGAGGCAACGTTTTACGTGACGTTTACTTGTTGCTATGAGTAATAAGACAGAAAAAGCCACGATAAAATAAGTTTAGGAAGCCCACTAAGAATCGTAATAAAAGCATTTAAAATAAACACCATACACAGTTGAGGAAACGTTGGTTTAAGTACCTGATATGAAGTGGTCGCTGCATAAGTGAAAACCTTTACTCTCGGGATCCCACAGTTTCATTTTAGCCCGGTCACTAGCACGTTTTATTACAATCAACCAACGTTTGCGGCGTTCCGGATCTTGGGGAATCCTGTAGATGGCTCATTGCTTATGTCGTCCGCGTCTGTTCTGCATCCTGGGGCACAACAGGAATCTACTATATTTCCCGTTTGATTGAGTTTTCTGATAATAACAAATAGTCCAGCTGCGGGCTTCTACCTGCCAATATGGCGCCGTTTCGATTTGAACTGTTGCATGCCGGGAGAAGTGACGTCAACTCCCGGAGCGCTATAGGAGTACAGCTGCATGTCTCCAACAGCCGGGGGGAAAAGGCGGGAAAACAGTGCAGCTCTCTGATTGGCTGAGAATGTTCAACCATTTTCTGTCCAAGCAGGATCGAGCACATAAATCAAATCGACTGGCTTGGTCTCAGGAATCTTGTATTAAATTTTAAATGCGTTATCAGTCACCATGGTAACAAGCTTAACAACGACATTTCATACATTTTAGACACTACTGTATCAAAGTATTTTAACATATGAACATTATTTAAATTTTAAAAAGGTCATGGCACATTTAACATAAATATACTGAAGTAGATTTCTGTCATCTGTTACCATGGTAACACAAGTGCATAAGGATATCCCCAAACAAGTCTTATGGAAATGAATGTGAAAAGCCTAATATTGAGCCCATAACATACTGCTGTTTCTTATCTTTCTGAGCTCTACGCACTTAAAACTAGCAGCATAGCTGACATTTTAACACTAGTCAGAAGGCAGGAACCACCGCCTCCTCCTTCACTGCTCTCTGATTGGCTGAGAGTTTTTAATCCTCTTCTGCCTAAAAGGAAATATTCACCCACACATATGATGTATCAATTCAACCTGCTTGGTCCCAGGAGTCTTGTATTACCTTGATATTGTGTTCTGCATTACCATGGCAACGTGCTTAGCAACAACATTTAACAACATTTTAGACACAACTGTATCAACATACTTTAATATAGAAATGTTATTCAAAGTTTAAGAGTCATGTGACATTGTACATTGCTTTATTAAAGCAGACTTCTGTCATCTGTTACCATGGCAACACAAGAAACTACAAATCACTTTAACCAAGTCTCAAAGGAATGAATATAAAAAGCTGAATATTGAGCCAATAACAGACTCCTGTTTTTGATCTTTTTGAACTATCTGTACTTAAAACTAGAAACAAGTTAAATTTGATTGACCGTCAGAAGGTGGGAAAGTGCCCCGCTCCCTCCCAGCTCCCTGACTGGTTGAGAGAGGTCAATCATCTTCTGACTAAATGGAATTACACACCCACACATGTAATCTATCTCATCGATCGGCTTGGCCTAAGGAATCCATCCATCCGCATATAAATCCATACATGCTTCTATCCATCAATCAATCAATCCATCCATCCGATAAACCATCTACATCCATCCATCCAACAATCCATCCATCATTTCATTCATCCAACCATTCATCCATCTCATATCAAGTCTGAACATATGTTAATCTATCAGTTTCAGATATCAGCAAATATTTCTAAATTCACAGTTCAGCCAATTGTAAAAATGTACCCGTTAAACTATTCTCATTCAAATGCCAGCTGTTTAAATATTTCAAATTTTGAGTTTTTAATCAATGTTCAAAGATTAAAGTTTTCTGCTGTTTAGCATTTTTGACCATTCTTCACCTTTATTCTGAGCTTTATTACACTTGTCGGTGATTTTTGCTTCTAAATTGAATAAATTCAGCTCAATTTGACAGTTTAGCTTAGTTTCAGCTTCACTTGAGCTATTCAGCAGCTTCAGCAATCAGTTTCTGAATTCAACATATGATGCTAATTTCACAGTTCAGCTAAATGTAAAAATTAAACTGTTAAACTAGTCCTACTGAAATAACAGGTGTTTAGACATTTTAGCTGTCCAGTTTTTTAAACAATGTTCACAGATTTCAGTTTTCTGCTGGTAAGGATTAGTTTTCTTGATTCTTAACTTACTTTTTGTGCTTTATTTACTTGTTGGTGCTTTTTGCTTTCACATCTTTCACTACATTCAGCTCATTTGACGGTTTTGCTAAGTTTCAGCTTCAATTCAGCTGTCCAGCAGCTTCAGCAATCAGTTTCAGCTATTCAGTATTCAAGCAGCATTTCTGCAAGAAATGCAAATTTTTCTAGTTACACACAATACTCACACACCTCATACTCATTCATAAACCTACATCACATAGTGCACTCACTCATGTATCCTAATAACTCCTGTTGTATTCACATGTCATCCTGTACCCATCATTGCTGCTCACATGTATATTAGCATGCCATACTCATAAGCAGTGCTGCCAATAACACATTAGTCTAACCTGAACACTTTTTGCAGTAATGATTAATCTAACACATTAAAGTCTTAATTTTTATAATCAGATTACATTACTTTCACATCGAGCCTTGCATTTATTTCCTTACTAGTTATTAATTCATATGTATAACAAATCAACTTGTAACAGAGATTTACAGCTTAATGAGGAGGTCCACAGGGAGCCTAAGTCATGCCCATACTTCCGAACCATGGGTCCCCGGAAGAATGAAAAAATGAATGCAAGTCAAAGGGGCAAAAAAATCTACTTTCTAATCCCGCTTGTTATGTTCTATGGATTTCTCATATGATGTCCGTGAATTTTAAACATGCATTTTGATGCAAAGAAAGCATTTATTTTCAAATGTTAAAGTTATTTTAGGTTTTGTGTCAAAATAAGTCCAGGACTACAAATGTGCATAACTAAAATGACGTCACTGAACCAGACACGGAGGAAAACAGAGGAAAAATGGCTGTAAGTTCAGAAAACTTCAAATCCTTCCTTCAGGAGGAAAGAATCACCATAAATCTGACCATGTAGTAAGTAGTACCTATGCTAGGGGAGAGGAGATTACGTGGTGACGTCATATATGTGACGTGCCGACGTCTGATTTGTAGTTGTGCGAATTACGGACAAGGTGATAAATCTCGGAACACTGACATTAGAAACAAAAAGTCGGAACACTCATCATTAGATTTCATTTTAAACTGAAGTACAACATATGTACGATCCAGGGGATAAGGCAAAGGAGATTAGAAAATAACTCTTTTAGTCCGTTCAGGGACCCATGCCAGAAAGGCAGGAGACTTAGGCTCCCTTCAATAGACCGCAATCTCACTCACGGTTCAACACAGGACACAATATCCCGCTAAGCATCCTGGGAAAAAGGCTAAGAATCCCACGGTCCAAACAACCACTATTTGCTTTCTTCTTGTGTTTCAGTAAATTCTGACAAGTCACATGCATCAGAAGCCAGTGACACAAATGTGATCAGTATTGGAGGACAGGAGGGGGGCGTGCCTTTTCTAGCTGGAAATACGACAGAGCTTCACAACCGGGAAGCTGCCGATCCCTCTAAAACCTGATTTATAAAAACATATGAAGCCAAAATAGCAATTTTTATGTCATTTCTTGAGGACGCTTAGGTCCTTCAATGTCTGTAGCAAGATGCTGCAGATCTTCTACAAGGCTGTTGTTGAGAGTGTAATCTCTTCAGCCATTGTCTGTTGGGGTAGCAGCATCAGAAGCAGGGACCTGAAAAGGCTCAACAGCCTAATAAAAAAGGCTGGTTCTGTTCTGGGGACGACTGTGGAACCACTGGAGGAGATAATGCAAAGAAGGATTCTCCAGAGAATCAAGAAAATGATGGACGACCCTGAGCATTCTCTTCACTAGACTGTCTGACAACGGAAGAGTGTCTTCAGCCAGAGGCTTCTTCAGTTTGGCTGCAACACTGACCGCTGCTGGAGATCCTTCTTGCCAACAGCCATTGTAATATACAACAACTCTTTGATGACTTGATTATTATTATTATTCTGAGCTACTACAGCAATCAATTTCCCTCTGGGATTAATAAAGTATTTTTGAACTGAATTGAATTGAATTTGCCAAACAAGAAATGCTACACTGTGGTGCTGAATGTGACTGATAAAGTAACTTCTAATGTAACTTCAGTTATTTTAAAAATGAAATTAATTAATTAATTAATAATTATTTGTTTGACTGCAGAGTCACTCCACCATGATATTCCACTGAAATCCATAGATCATTCCTGCTTCTGATCGTCAGACTGAACAACTCATCTGTTCATTATCCTTCCAAAGAATTACACACCGAGTTTCTGTTTTTGCTATTTCCTATTGCTGCAGTTGACATATTGTAATCGTGAATTTCATCTTTCCATCTTGTTTTCTTATTTGGGAGCACCGACACCAGCCATAGGTATTGTTATAGTACACCTGAAGGTGAATAGTTAAAAAATAAACAACACATGATTTGTTAACTTTGTTTAACTCAAAGTTGAAAACGTAAAAAGCCCCAGACACTAGGTCTCCAGGTTGTTGTGGAACAGCTCCTTTGCATCAGTAGGTGGAGGTCGTGGTCCTTCAGGTCATGTTAAATAACTTTATTCAGACTTTTCTACAGATCCTACTCACGTCTGTGCTGCCGCGCTGATGGCCATTCTGGACCGTCTGCAACAGCATGAGGATCTGCAACCAAACAAAACAAACACCCAAATGTGACCCTTATGTTTATGTTTATTCATTTAGCAGACGCTTTTATCCAAAGCAAATTACAATTTGCAACTTACAACCCTATAGGGCACGTTGTGATCTGTGGGGGAAACCAGAGTACCCGGAGGAAACCCACGCATGCATGGGGAGAACCAAGCCCCCACAATGCGGCTCAAAAATTGAAGCAATCCTGGAAGTACCAAAAATTGCAGTTCCACCCTCATCCGCTGGGGGCTGGTGTCAGAGGTGAGCAAATCCTCATTGACTCCCATGTTAAAAATACCAATTTCACAGCAGAAATAAACATGTTTACAGCCTGGTACCAAAACATGTTTTTGGTTTAAATGATCTAGTTTACACTCATGACAACTCTGAGGGGGGTGCATTTTTTTCTCACTCTTCTGTTTAAGTGTATTAAAAGCCTAAAATTCTGTATAATTAATGAGCATCAGACCCACGTGACCACAGAGCTAGCTCCGTGGAAAGGCCTCAGTAGAGCCTCGGTCTGGCCTGGAAACTGCTCCGCGATTTTGAGTCTCTGTGTTTGTGTATTCTTTTTTGGATATTATTTGTGCAATTGTTGGACAAAATGACTTGCTGTGGCATTAATTGCACTAATAGCACATCCAAGGAGTCTCCACTTCATTTTCAAGTAAAATTATATTAATGTATTTTAGGTCACTGCCGAGCTGAGCTTAGATTTTAACATGTACTGTTTAACCATGAAATTTAAATGTAATAGGGTAAAACCCAGTGCATTTAACATAATGCTGCACTTTAGAAAATGGGTTGAAATATAACATGTTGGTGGAGCTGGGTTCCGACTATCGGCTTGTGGAGCTCTCAGGAGACCGATGTTTTCCACCCGTTTCTCCCCAGCGGCAGCTCTGTGCATCTCAGATCGCAGCGGCGCTTGTCTGCTGTGCGGTTGCCGGCTTGTGGAGCTCTCGGGAGACCTCTGTGTTCCACCTGGTTTTACCCAGCGGTCAGCCCGGCGTATCTCTGACTCAGAAGCTCTGGTGTTGTGCACAGTTAACTCCGGTTGTAGCTAGGTTGCTACCTCCGCTAGCTTAGCTTCCACCTCCGCATTAGCTTTGGGTTAGCTTCAGGTTAGCTTGTAGCTAGTTCGACCGGGTGTCGTCAGTTGATCCCAGCCTTACAGCCCCACCCTCAGCTCCACCTCTCTTCCCTTTTATGGATATGTCTGGGCTTGACGGAACCTGTGACACGGTCAAAATGGCGTTGGTGGCCACCTCCCATTTCTCCTCAAAAACGTGTTATTGGAGTCTATGGAAACCCATTGTCCAATATTTATATGTCGATGATGGAAACCCATTGTCCAATATTTATATGTCGATGATGGAAACCCATTGTCCAATATTTATATGTCGATGGGGAGAACACGCAACTCCGCACAGAAAGGCCGCAGCCGAGCCGAGTTTCGTACCTGCAACCTTCGTGCTGCGAGGCAACAGTGCTAACCACTGCGCCACCATGCAGACACTTGAACAAAAAGGTCGTATCAGAGGTCAGATTCATGCTACTGACTGAATCCTGTCAATTCTGTTCCTGTGAACAGGTCAGCTGATTTAAGACAGTGGTGTCCAGTTCTGGTCCTGATGCGTCCCCGGACTCAGCTTTAAAGGGTGATTGATCTGTGGGTGATTAACTCGCTTCTGCAGAGCTTGATACCAGACAGAACAGGTGATGTAACCATTGAATCAGGTGTGCTGGAGCAGGGAAACAACTAAAACCTGGTGGATATTTGAACTTCACTAAGGTTTCATCTTCACAAGCTCTCCTTTGTCACCCTGTGTTCAACAGAATTCGCCTAACCTGTTTACCTGTGTGTGTGTGTGTGTGTGTTCCATGAGTATGGGGTGGATGACCCTTTGGTAAGAGCTATTCTATAAGAGTGGACAACATATCTGGGACCTGTTGCATCACTGCTAAGGGCACTCTTTCTCACCAGTTCTGTTCATGAACAGAATTTCTGGGCAAACTCATGGCCTGGAGAGTTTAGTAGCAGGAAGGTCCAGTCTGCTTTTTGCAGATGTTGTAGTCCTCTTAGCTTCATCAACTAGGGCCTTCAGATCCTGCTGATGTGTGTGAAGAAGCCAAGTATCTCAGATTCTTGTTCATGAATGAGAAAAGGAGGAAGTAAGAGCTCATCAGGTGTATCAGGGCAGTGATTGCGCGATGCGAGTGCTAAACTGGTCTGTTGTGGCCATTTCATGTTCCAAACCCTCATCTAAGGCTCTGAATTTTGGATAATGAATACAAGGACAAAGTCTTCAGGGTGGTTGAACTTAGCCTGAGGCATAGAGTGATGAAAGTAGACATCCAGGTACTTTGTGTACAGCTGCTGCTCCTCCATTTTGAGGGGAGTCACTTCAGGAGATTTGGGTACGTTATCAAAATCTTGTTCACAAGTGAGGGTGGAGAGATTAATAAGTGGATTAGTGCTGCATCTAGAGTGATGCAGGTGTTCTACCAGCCCATCGTGGTGAAGAGAGAGCTGAGCCAGAAGGCAAAGTTCTCAATTTACCTGTCGATTTACGTTCCTACCTTCACCTATGGTCTCGAGCTTTGGGTAGTGACCGAAAGAATGAAATTGTGGATACAAGCAGTCAAAATAAGTTTCCTCTGCAGGGTGTCTGAGATAGAAGCTCAGCCATCCTGGAGGGACTCCCTCTGCTGCTCCTCTACTGGTGGCTCAGGCATCTGGTTAGGATTGCTCCTGGACACCTCCCTGGTGAGGTTATCCAGGAAAGTCTAACCGGGAGGAGACCTAAAGGAAGACCCAGGGCATGCTGGAGGGATTGGAACTCCTTAGGATTCCCCCAGAAGAGTTGGCCTAAGTAGAGGGCGACTGGCCGTCTGTGAGTTTGGGAGAGTCTCAGCACGGCCGGAATGCCCTAGGGCCGGAGTTGACCATTCTAGTATGTCCTTTCTTTGGGAAGCCCCTAGAGCAAAGTTGTCTGAGGCTTTCTGCCTCTGGTAGGGTCACCCATGGCAAACAGGTCCTAGGTGAGGGATCAGATAAAGAGCAGCCCGAAGACCACTTCTGATGAACTATATAAATGGAAACCGTGTTCCCTCGCCCGGACGTGGGTCTCTGGGCCCCCCCTCTGGAGCCAGGCCTGGAGATGGGGCACGCTGGCGAGCACCTGGTGGCCAGGCTTTCACCCATGGAGCCCGGTCGGGCACAGCCCGAAGAGGAAACGTGGGTCCCCCTTCCTGTGGGCTCACCACTCGTGGGAGGGGCCAAAGGGGTCGGGTATAGTGTGTGACGGGTGGTAGTCGAGGGCAGGGACCTTGGCGGTCTGATCCTCGGCTACAGAAGCTGGCTCTTGGCACATGGAATGTCACCTCTCTGGTGGGGAAGGAGCCTGAGTTTGTGTGTGAGGTTGAGAGGTTCCGACTAGATATAGTCAGACTCATCTCAACACATGACTCTGGAACCAGTTTCCTTGGGAGGGGTTGGACTTTCTACCACTCTGGAGTTGCTCCCACTGAGAGGCGCCGAGCAGGGGTGGTTATACTAGTTGTCTCCCATCTTGGTGCCTGTACGTTGGGGTTTACCCCAGTGAAGGAATCCGCCTACGTGTGGGGGGATGGGTTCTGACTGTGGTCTGTGCTTATGCACCAAACTACAGTTCAGACTACCCACCCTTTTTGGAGACCTTGGAGGGGGTGCTGGAAAGCGCTCCTTCCGGTGACTCCCTCGTCCTGCTGGGGGACTTTAACGCTCACGTGGGCAACGACAATGAGACCTGGAGAAGTCTGAATTCAAGTGGTGTTTTGTTATTGGACTTCTTTGCCAGTCATGGATTGTCCATAATGAACACCAAGTTCAGACATAAAGGTGTCCATATGTGCTCTTGGCACCAGGATGCCCTAGGCCGCAGCTTGATGATCGACTTTGTTGTTGTTTCATCTGAACTGCGGCCACATGTCTTGGACACTCGGGTGAAGAGAGGGGCGGAGCTGTCAACTGACCACTACCTGGTGGTGAGTTGGCTCAGATGGTGGGGGAGGATGCCGGTCAGACAAGGCAGGCCCAAACGTATTGCGAGGGTCTGCTGGGAACGTCTGGCAGAGTCTCCTGGCAGAAGGAGCTTCAATTCCCACCTCAGACAGAACTTTCAAAATGTTCCGGGGGAGGCAGGGAACATTGAGTCTGAATGGACCCTGTTCCGTACCTCCATTGTTGAGGCGGCCGACCGGATCGGTGGTCACAGGATCATCGGTGCCTGTCGTGGTGGCAACCCCCGAACCCGCTGGTGGACACCGGCGGTTAGGGACGCTGTCAAGCTGAAGAAAGAGTCGTTTCAGGTCTTTTTGACCTGTGGGACTCCAGAGGCAGCTGACCGGTACCGGCAGTCCAAGCGGAACTTGGCTCGGGTGGTCCGTAGTTCCTTAAGGCTATGGATGTTGTGGGGCTGTGTTGGCTGACTCTGCAATATCGCGTTGACATCGGGGGCAGTCCCACTTGACTGGCAGACCGGGGTGGTGGTCCCCTTATTTAAAAAGGGTAACCGCAGGGTGTGTTCCAACTACAGGGGGATCACATTCCTGAGCCTTCCTGGTAAGGTCTATTAAGGGGTTCTGGAGAGGAGGGTCCGTCGGATTGTTGAATCTCAAATTCAGGAGGAGCAATGTGGTTTTCGTCCTGGCTGTGGAACACTGGACCAGCTCTATACCCTTAGGGGGATCCTGGAGGGTTCGTGGGAATTTGCCCAACCAGTCTATATGTGTTTTGTGGATTTGGAGAAGGCGTTTGACCGCGTCCCTCGGGGGAACCAGTGGGGGGTACTCCGGGAGTATGGGGTACCAGGCCCTCTGATACGGGCTGTTAGGTCCCTGTATGACCGGTGTCAGAGCTTGGTCCGCATTGCCAGCAGTAAGTCGGGCTCGTTCCCAGTGAGAGTTGGACTCCGCCAAGGCTGCCCTTTGTCACCGATTTTGTTCAT